GGTAAATTAGCAATCAGTATGGGAAGTTCAAAAGAAAAAGAAAGCATCATTTTATGTGACATCAGTACTGTTGAGCCTGATGTTGGAAGTTTGGGGTCCTGGGCCATTAAGGTCTGATATTTGTGTGAGAAGGCAGGATGTGTGATGAGAGAAGGACCAACATTTCTGGGCCTTACAGTAGCCATTTGGAAGCCAGTGTGAGTCCATGGTTAGAGTCAGACTAACTTAAGGAAGAGGCAGGTTCATGCTTTCTGTCATCTTAGGCCAGTCACATCCCCACATCCTAACTTAGTTCACAGGCAGGGTTGTTGTAAGAAGAAAATAAGATCATCATCATCATCTGGGATCCATGTTGATCCTTTGGTCAGCCTTTAGAAACTGAACAGTTACCTCTGTGTAAAGGCTGTTTCTGTTATTCCCCACCCCACCCCAGTGTGTTTGTGGAATATATAACCTGGCACTAAGCAAAGCTAGATGATCGGTCTACTGAGCACGCATGGGCAGAGATCACTCCCAGCACTGCAGTCCTGCTCGGTAAACAACTGGAGTTTTTAAAATCACATTTATATCCCCCATTTTGATATGGGGCTTTGGTGGCATTCCAGATGTAACTGTGTTTGGCTGTGTCGTGCAGCACGAAATGGGTCTGGCACATTTGTAAGGCCCTCGACGTGGGGCCCTTTTGAAAGGTGAAATCAGAGATTGGACCTTGGACATTCTCTATGCAAAGCAATTTCCTCTACCGTTGAACTTTGTTCCTTCCCTATAATTTATCAGATATATAAAAAAGAGTGCACATTGAGTGATTGACCTTTGGGTGATTAGAGCATGGTGCGCTTGGTGTTGCTCTGTGACTATTTTCATAGATATACTGGGTTAGTCTAAGCCCATAAATCTGTAATTCCTCGGCACCTTACCGTTGCAGTGTGACTCATTGTCTCCTATGGGTTACCTCTGACATTTACAAAAGCCTGTGAAAATGACTATTCTCAGTCATCTCTTGCTGTCTGAGTGCAGTAATTTGAGACATATTTTTTCTCCTCGCGTATTGCTGCTGATGATTGTTAACGGCAGAATTTGTACTGAGTGTCAATGAAGGGCCTGTTTGTCTGTATCTTTCACAAGCAGCTATCCAGTACACAGCACATACTTCTTTTTGTTTGACTGCTGAGTTGAAAGAGGTGCTTGCATCAGCTGTTGAAAGGTAGACAAAGGAGAGATCAGCTATCAGATTAAAGGTTTCAGAGCTGATCAGATAATTTTTACTCTATAATCAATTAATAATCTATGATTCATAATCTGTCATAATGTTTTTGCATGTGCATGTTTTTGTATTGCTGCTGCTGTTACCACTATTACTACTACTATTTCATAGCAGAACTGCAGGCAACCTCATGCTGACAAGAAGCAGGTATATTTATCTTGGAAGAGGGCTGAGCGTAGTTAATACTTGAATGGGAGATCAGGGATCTCTAGGTAGGATCAAGAAGGAATCCCACCTGAAACTCTGGAGAGCCACTGCCAGTCAGAGATTGCAGTGCCGGGCTAGATGGACCAGTCTAATTCAGAGCAAGTTAGCTTCTCCTTTGCTCCTAAATCATACGTATGACATTAACATCATGATTGCTTCAGTGTTCCTCATGTCACAGGGAGATTTCTCTCTCTTCTTAAATATTTTTCACTTCCATCAAAGATATGATAGTCCTTTATGTTGTATCACTTATTCCTTGTTCCCAATTATTAAATATATAGGGTTGGGGTTTTTTTTTTAAGAGGCAGTTTTCGTCTGTACCTGACTTGCCCTTTTTAAACAATCATAGGTGTCCTTTTTCTGTTTCCATAACATCCATGTTTAAGAGTCGGTTGCCTGCTAAAGGATTCATTAATTCAACAGCTTTGAAGCGGAGGGAACTGATGTCCTGAAATAATCTGGTTTCCCCATGGAGATGCACTGCTAGGGAGCAGCCTAAGTGAATTAATTAGCCTTTTTATTGTGTTTTGAAGGTCAGTAATTGCACAGCTCTGGCAGCCTGCTGGAGGTGAGGGTGCTCCGAGGGGCCAAGGGGAGGCGATGCCACTCTCGCTGCTAAGTTCTTAAGAGTGTTCCTTGAGAAGCCCATGGGCTGAACACGAGGAAGAGCCATCCAGCATCAAGTCCATTGGCTCAAGACGAGCAATTGCATGCCTTCCCGATCTGGCGTGGAGACTCTCCAGATTACCTGGAGCAACATTTGAGGACTCATGGAAGACTGCAGCAGAGGGGAGGGGAGAGGGAATCTGTGTGGTTACCTGACTCCAGGTGAGCAGTGTTCCGCCACTGCTTACCTGCATATTTCTAGCAATGTGAGGAGGGTGTGCCTTAGCCGTTTCCCCTCTCTGTCATTTCTCGTTTTTCTTGTAGAGAGTGGTAGGTCTGCAGAGACCCCTGTGCTTGCATGTAGGGTCCGTCCATGTCTGGGGACTTCCTCTCCATGTCCACTATTTCTCTTTGGAGAAAGTGATAAAAAGGAGGGAGGAGGAGCATCTGAGTGGGGCTATGGCTGCTGGCACTCATTGCTATCTTGAACGTGACAGGAGGGCAGGGGGACCAAACACAAAGGGTGGGAGTCGGGCCCATGGAGCTGGGATGTCTCTTTTGGCTCTCATCCCCCTCACTAACTGTCAGCACAACACATCCAGCCACGCTGTACTGTTAGGGAGGTGGGGTGAGCTCACCCTTTTCTCTTACAGTCCTGGCTGCGTGAGGAGTTCCTTAGGGACTGAGGGGTGTGGGCTGTTGTCCTGGACTCTGTTAGAAACATCACACAGTTGCTGATGAAACCCAGTATAATTTTTGGGACATATAAATCCTTAATGTTTATCTGAAGGACATTACAAAAACTGGAAGGTAGGTAGCCTCCCTCACCTAACTGCCCAGTTATTAGCGTTTCAGCCAACAGAGAAGAAGGCAAACTGCCTGGAAAACCTTAATCTTTTCCCAAGTTTTTGTCAAGAAGGCAGGGAAAGGGCACCCATGGGAACAGTTATGCGATTTTCAGTTATTAAAAACAACACAGGCACATGTAGGTAGTTATTCCACTGAGTCTGCCCGTTGAGGAACAGAGTGGACGCCTTCCACATTCGGCCTGATGATTCCCTTTTTTCTCTTAACTATACTGCCATTCTTGCTTTGCATGGTGTGTTCCTGTGGACAGGCCTGATTGTGTTTCAGATAGATAATTCTGGCTTCGTTTATGAGACATGCGCGCTACATTCTAGAGAATATATAATCTCTGTTGCTTTGGTATTACATCAATTTCCCTTTTGGTCTGTTTTGTAACCATGAGACAATAGTAAGTATTTAGTAGCCAATATGTAGGTTTCTAGATTAGCGCGAAACAGCGGAGAAGCACCAAAGGCTTTGGTGGGCAGAGGCATGATTTTGAAGGAGGGTCAATGGATGAGCCTGTTGAACCCTTTTCTGCCTTCCAGTTTTATCTCTGTATTTCCCTCCCTAGTTGCTTTCCTATGCTAGTATTTGTGTTGGTGGTCAAGATCAGGGTTATGTTCCTTTATCCCACTCCTACCCTCCCTTTCCCGCTCTTCTTCCCTAGGTCTCACCTGAGCAACGATCTGCTTTCCAGGTTTAGTGATATTGCCAAAGTCTAGCTCATTCCACAGATAGTACTCAGTTTTATCTCTGTATTTCCCTCCCTAGTTGCTTTCCTATGCTAGTATTTGTGTTGGTGGTCAAGATCAGGGTTATGTTCCTTTATCCCACTCCTACCCTCCCTTTCCCGCTCTTCTTCCCTAGGTCTCACCTGAGCAACGATCTGCTTTCCAGGTTTAGTGATATTGCCAAAGTCTAGCTCATTCCACAGATAGTACTTGCTAGCATCTGCCTTGTGGCCTCCTTCATCTCTGGTGGTGGGATTTAGTAAAATAAACCTAGAAAGTAGGGTGGTTGTTGCCTTTCAGAGCAAGCATGAAGAGACACGGCTTTGGGGAGGTCACAAGCGGGCTGTTTCTTTGCCGTTTCCTCAGCAAGAGCTCCAACTGCACAAAAGGCAAAATGTTGTTGTTGAGTTTGAAGAACCTCAGTCAGAGCTGCTGGCGTGGAAATAGAAATAGCTTGCTATAGAGGTTAGGATGTAATGTGCTCTATGTGGGGCTGCCGATGGAGAGGCTCAGGAAACTTCAGCAGGTCCAAAAATGCAGCAGCCAGATTGCTCACTGGGGCTGCTTACAGGGATCACATAACGCCCCATTACAGCACATTCATTGGCTGCCGATCCATTTTCAGGTACAATTCAAAATGCTGGGTTTCACCTTTAAAGCCCTAAATGGCCTGGGTCCAAGCTTTTTGCAAGACCATGTGCCCCATTATGGCTGAGGTGTTAAGATAATCAGGAGAGGCCTTTCTCTCGATCCCACCACTTTCACAGGTCCATTTGAAGGGGACATGGGAGAGTGCCTTCTCTCTCGCTGCTCCCAGGCTGTGGAACTCCCTCCCACAGGAGACTAGGCTGGCCCCATCTTTGCTGTCTTTTCACAAGCAGGCAAAGGCCTTTCTCTTCAGTCAAGCCTTCCCTCAGTAACCAGCTACCTGTGTGTGGTTTTTAGATGGACTTTTATGCATTATTGCTTTGACTGGATTTGTAGTACAGCTTGTGTTTTTCATTTTTGTCTTTTCCATTTCTCAGAGTGGCATTTGTTTTCTTTTTGATATTTGTATACTTCTGTCATATTGCCTTTTAATGATGTAAGCTGCCTCTTCATATATATTGTTCTTAGCTTTAAATATTGTCTTTTAATGATGGTGTAAACACATTGTTTCCAACTTTAAATATTACCTTTCAGTGTTGTAAGCTGCTTTGGGTGCTTTTCAAGGAGAAAAGTGGGGTCAAAATATTTTAAATAAACAAATTAGTCTAGAACTGTCAAGGTGGTGACCAGGTAAAACCTTCTATATGGATATTGCAAACTTTCCTAACAGCTGCTGCTTTCCTTTTCTCTTATAGGGTGTTGGTTTATCTGTTCATGGTCAATTCAGAGTTGCTACGGAGAAGACTGTTTTTGCAATGCCAGAAACAGCAATAGGTAAAGACTGAACACTGCATTTTCTTTTGCTCTGTATTATTTACAGTGGTGCCCCGCAAGACGATGATAATGCGTTCCATTGAAATTGCTGTTTAGTGAAATCATCATCTTGCAAAAAG